GCTTTTGCATCAATAAACAACACCAATTAGAATAAATATTTTAAAAATTGTTGCAATGTCAGTAGATATGAAGGATTGAATGCCATTATGTTAATTATATAATAAAACTGGCCCTGGTGCAGATTTTACATAATCGTGTTTAATCGTGTTTAATCGTTTACATTTTGTATGTGTATTTTGTGAATTTATTTTAATATATTGATATCGATGTATAACTCGCATATGATCGAGAATTTTTAAAAGTTGAAATAGATACGTTTTTATTTTGAATATATCTGCATTTTTATATAAAACAATGGCAGATTCACAAACTACAATTGCTTCGCTAAGAGAATTAAATTCTAAACTTACACTCGAGATTACCGAAATTAGAAAGAAGTATGCTAAGATTGAGGCTGAAAAGGCTGAACTTGAGGTTAAGAATACTGAGCTTTTAAACCGGATTATGGAAAAAAACAGCAAACGCGAAGCTGATCATACAAAACTTAAAGAAGATACTACTAACCTCAAGATCAAAAACACTGAGCTTGAAGCCGAAGTAGCAAAATTAAGACATGATATTGAGGAAATCAAAAAGAAAGATCAAACACGGGATGCATTTTCTATAGAAGAGATTTCGTCTACTTCATCTGATAACACTTCAAATTCTTATGAACTTAATAATGATCCAAATTTTGATGTATCCGATAACACTTTTTCAGAGACTAAATCTTTTAAAAATAGGGAGATCGAATTTCTGGAACGGATACATAAAGAATCTGTTAGCAATGAAATAAGAGAGAGAAATCGGAAAAAGAAGCTTCAAGCCCAAAATTCTATATCATATGATAAAGATAATTCATCATGTGATATAAAAACCGTTTCCCAGGGAAACGATCGTGATAATTCATCATGTGATATAAAAACCGTTTCCCAGGGAAACGATCGTGATAATATTGAAAGTAGTGTAGATATTGCTTCCCAAATAAGCATTCAGCAAAAAACTATTCCGAATACTCCTTTACCAGCAGAAGATCTTGACGATTCAGATGAAATTGAGCTGGCTAAAAATCAGAATATAGAACTGGGTTTAATACAAGATTTACGGAGTGGTAGTACTATTGCTTCACCTACCGAAGATAGCGAACAAAATTCATCTATGGAATCATTTCAAATTACAACACAAAGCTTAATCTATTTGTTTCGAAATGCAATACGATCTGGGCATGAAGAAATTTTATCTTGGACTCGTTATTCAGATAATTTTGAAAGTAAAGTTGCTGAAATTCGTCATGAGACAGGGGTTACTGATAAAACTGCAAGAACTCAAATATACAAAGAAATGTTAAAACATCTATCTGGCGTTACACCGGTTGCCTTGCGAATTAAAACTCTTAGAGCCAAAAAAATTCGTAAGTTATTTGGAGAAAATGGAGTTGGAATGGATAAAATAAAGTACGTCACCTGCACTGCAAATGATATTTCGAAACTGACCAATGCTCAAATTCAAAACATTATAAATCAAGTGAACTCGAAAAGTGTCTTATCACAAAATAAACAAAGTCATATGATTTCAAAAACCGTTTCCCAAGGAAACGATCGTGATAATTCATCTGAGGTAAATACTTTGGCTAAGTCGTTAACCTCTAGCCCTTCTAGCTCGAAAAAATTACCAGATGTGAAGGTAAGTGTACCACCAATGCCTCGATCCAAAAAGAATATACCAGTTATTCCATATGATGCTCGTGCCACCTACATTAATACAATATTGAAGCAGTATCCTTATCTATCCTTACGTCATAGTGATGAATTTAATGATTGCTACGAATTCAATGACTCAGGGGTATGCCCAGGATGTGAGCAAGAGCATAGTAAAGGGCATGTATTTGGTATAGCTGGTCAATGCACAAATGGTTCTTACTATATTAAATGCCGGAACTCGCCCCATGAAAAAGAAATCAAGGTGAGTATATCATTCACATCTCAGGTCTTGGATTCTTCTGATTCGAAAAAATTACCAGAGCTTCTCATCAAAAATGAATCCGATATAGATACTCTTATCCTTCTTTTACAACAAAGGTTCAAAATGTCTCGAGAAAAGTTAGAACAATGGAGAGATAAGATTGTCTTTGAATTGCGAGATAATCAGAAATATTGGAAAGAAGAACGTGAGAGTATGAGTGAGACCGATTTCTTAGAACACAAGCGAAACTTCGAGACTAAAATGGGAGTTCCCACTACTCCGCACAAAAAAGAATTAAAAAATAAATCTTTAGCTCTCATTGAATATGGGTAACAACTTTAGAGGTAAAACCTCATTGTGTGATAATGGCACATCGTGCCAGAACCCCCCTCTTTATTTCACGCTATACATAATGTAAGTCACTCCAAAATATCATATTTCAAAATAATGGCACTTCGTGCCCGGAACCTTGCTTTATTTTAAAAATAAAAAAAAAAGATTGACAAAATGGCATACAAATAAAAAATATATCGCTGTTACAGGTGCGAATAAAATAAAAAAAAATTCTATTATTTAGTGGGAGGTCGGTAACAATTCTACGATGATATGAACAACATCTTGATTAGGATTCGCAGAGAAATGGTCATAGATATCACTATCCGGATTCATAATTACGAAGTAGTCCCCAACGGTAGGAAAATATCTACGAAGTCGAAAGTTGGCATTGGTTAATCCAACTGGTAGGCCAGCCCGAACTTGAGGTATTAACCTTGTTCTAACTTTATCTCCATTAAAAACATTAAATGTACGAGTATAATGTTGATAACCATTAATCGAATAGTAACAGTTAAGATCAATATTAATACGGTCGTTATCACCCATTTTGCGCTTCTAAACATAATAAAAATGAGTAAGTAGTAAGGCCCATAATTTTCCCGCGCCTGAATAATAAAACCTGCAGAAGTGTAATAAACATTACCTCGATAATAAAATGGGAATATATAAACCTTTTTTTGATAAAAAATACAGGAGCAAAGATAATGCTAACTTATCTTAAGGTGGAAACCTGCTTATTTTATACCGTTCATTCGCTAGATCTAAAAAACAAACCAACAGAAAAAAGAATATATGATTAGTAATTACGTTACCCTAACACAATGCCGGATCCCACCATGTAAAGCAACTCCGCTCGGTCATAGGTTCCAAGCACTGAACGTATTTTGTTATTTTTTCTGGTAAAATTAACCCCCTTAGATTCGACGATCTCCCCTGCGAAGTAAAAAAGTCAACGATCTCGACGATCTGGGAATGCCAAGTTCCTGCAACATGTGAATTTGAATAAAACTACTGATAAATAACGTTATACTCTTTCCTCTTATGGCCCATTTAAGTCCCATTTGTGATTTGTTCTTATCGCGGGATCACATATAATAAGAAAAGGGTTTAGTTATTCGTTATAAATCAAAAATTGACCGTGAGAAATTAAGGTAACACCGCATAAAATTTAATGCGGGCCATTGATTATTAAAGCCGGTCAAGGTTTTATC